TAAAGAAATAATTCAAAAAGTTCCTAAAGAAATAATTCAAAAAGTTCTGGAACTAGTGAAAAGGAAATTTTCAGGGATGGTGGGCAGCTATGCTCTCCCTCTCCCTCTCCCTCTCCCTCTCTCTCTCTCTCACACACACACACACACACAGTCCCTGAATTTATCAATATCAACTGAACCTGAGAAAGCAAGAGTTACCAAGCTGTGAACATATACTCTTGGGACACACATATATGGTTGTTGATTTGAACCAAGTCTTATAATACAATGTGGCAAATTCAATAATAGATTGTTATTTAGGTGATTATTAGCTTATTACACTTGGCTACCACCAGCATATGAAGTATTTCACATACAGTTAGGAATTTGTGATAGTTCACTGTCTTTGGAAAGCATTCTGTTACAGCAAAGTGATTTTATTGGTTACTAATTTCTATTAGCACAATATAAAAGTACTGTAGCAGATAGACTGTAAATCTTAAGAAATGGGGTGGGGGGTGGGGAACCAACTCACTGAAGACTATGAAATGTAAAGGATCATTAGTAATGAATGGAAACTTACCAAAGAGACATCCAACCAAAAACTAAGAAGGAATTTCCTAACAGTAAGAACAATCGATCAGTGGAAATTATGTGGGCACTTCAAAAGCTATGGATGCACCATCACTGGAAAGTTTTAAAAGGAGATTGGACAGCCATTTGTCTGGCATGGTATATAGGATTTCCTGGCAGCAGGTTGGACTAGAAGACCTTCAAGGTTCTTTCCAACTCTGTTCCAATCAGAACATATATCAGAATAACAAACACAGAGAGAGCTGCTGTGCTTGGCTTAATGAAACTTTGAGCTGGTCTTTTATTTTATGAATGGGAGTTTAGAGGGCAACCTTATCGACATTTGTCAGCTTGCCAAATGTTTATCTAGAATCAATTTATGAGACAAGTTCATAAAGCAATAAACTTATAAGTGCTACCTTTCCAGTAAGAACTGTAACAGGAAAACAGTAACAGTAAAAACTGTAGAGAGCCACTGAGATCTAGTGGTTAAGTCACCAGACTAGAAATGAAGTGACTATGATTTCTGGAATAAGAAAGCCAGTTTGGTTTTCTGTTTAAGGCGCTGGCTTAGAAACCAAGAAACTGTGGAGTCCTGCCTTAAGCATGAAAGCTGGTTGGGTGACTTTAGGCCAGTCTCCCTCCCTCCCTCCCCCCTCTCTCCCTCTCCTCTCTCTCTCTTCCCCTCCCTCCCTCCCTCCCTCTCTCTCAGCCCAACTCAATTCACATTGAGGGTTGTTGTGGGGAAAATGGGAGAAAGGAGTACTATGTATGTTTGCCTCCTTGAGTTATTCATAAAAATAACAACGGTGGGATTAAAAAAGAACTGAAGCTTTACAATTTAGCTTCAGGACATGCCTAGCTTGTGGGTATTATCAAGGCACTATATCTACCACGTCTATTAGGTTATGGCTACAGCTCTATAGTATACTATTAATTACTATCATAGTACTTTCTTTTATGAACAATATACGCGAGTCAATACTACATTTCAAGTCCCAAATTCTCTTATAAAAAACACTCTATAATTACAGGCAGTCTATTTAGTGACCATTCAAAGTTACAATGGCACTAAAAAAAGTGACTTATGACCATTTTTCATAGCTACTTTTGCAGCATCTCCAGGGTCATGTGATCAAAATTCAGATGCTTGGCAACTAGTTCATATTTATGACCATTGCTGTGTCCCAAGGTCATGGGATCACCTTTTGCCACCTTCTGACAAATCAAGTCAATGGGGAAGCTGGATTCACTTATTAACTTATCAACTGCAGTGATTCACTTAACAACTGTAGCAAGGAAGGTTGTAAAAAAACCTCACTGAAATGTTGGACTACCTGTATAACAAAAATATAAATGCTTTTTAAAAGGCTGCAATCCTTTGCTTTGTTCAGAGTAATTAAAAAATAGAACAAAATCTTACAGTTTTACATGAAGTCTTATTTTAGATGGTTGTTTTTAAGGTTTTAAGCATCTTAAAACTGTTTTTTCTTCTGTTAATACATTAGGTCTGTTCAGCCCCTAGAGATATAAAATTCTCAGCACATAAGAAGTTCATCTTAAATTCAGGAGTATTCAAAGTTAATAATTGAACGACTAACCTAACTCAAGATTACTGTGACCTCTGACACAATGAGTATGAATTTGAAGTTACCTTTCTCCTTCAGCTTCCAAATGGAGGGACATGGAGATAAAACAAGAGGGGTTCAACAAAAGGGATTCACTCTTATAACTGTATCTTTTTTTTCTTCTTTCAATGCACATCTTTACAATGCACATCAAGGGCAAGTAAAGAAAGAAAGAAAGTGGGAAAAGTTAAACCAGTTCCGACTCATACAATGGTGGTTTTGATTCCAAGGAGCCACTATGGACTTTAAAAAAAAAGCCACTACCAATTTCTTTTAGGTCTTTTTGTTCTGATAAATAATCTTAGGTATAGTGGTAAATCTACTCGATCACCAAATGAAGGCATGGATCTGGTAAATTTAAAGTGAGACATTATTTCTGGTAGATACTAACAACTTTTCACCAATAATTGAGAAGGAAGGTCTGAACAGGAGGTTGAAATAGAATCTGGGCATGTCCTTAGAAAGCAGGAAGAAGTTCCTAAATTGGTGAATTGATTATGTACCGCATGCCTCCGAAAGACTTCGTAGAGAGATTTTCTCCAGGAAGATCTTTCCCCAGTTGGCTCTTCAGGTCTTCCAACAGCACAGCCATTACTGCTGCAGTTGAGCCTATCTACCTTGCTGCTGGCCATTCACTTCTCTTTCCATCCACCTTTCCCCACATTATAGATTTTTCAAAAGAGCTAGAACAGAGGTCTCCAAACTTGGCAACTTTAAGACTTGTGGACTTCAACTCCCAGAATTCTCCAGCCAGCATAGCCAGAATTCTGGGAGTTGAAGTCCACAAGTCTTAAAGTTGCCCAGTTTGGGGACCCCTGAGCTAGAATTTCACATGATGTTTGAGAAAACTAAATGAATAAGTTCTATTTCTATAAAAGTTGCAGAAACCAAAAACTTGAGTCCCTACAGTCTAACATTTGTAAAAAAAACAAAAAACCCCCTCTGATTTTAATGTTGTGCCCATAAATGATTACATAGAATAATTTATTTGTTCTTACATTGTGGGGCCAATTTAGCCACTACTGGTTTTTTTTAGACATGGCTTCCTATCTTTTCCGGAAAGACTTTGGGCCCCACCAAATGTTACACCTCAACTCTTTTACACAGATTTAGCGTGATTGTGAAAGTGCTGGCCTAGAACCCAGGAGACTGAGTTCTAATCCCATTTTAGGCATGAAAGTAGGTGACTTTGGGTCACTTACTCTGTCTCTGCCCAACCCACCTTCTAGGGTGGTGGTTGTGAGAAAAATAGGAGGAAGAGATATTATGCACGTTTGCTGCCTTGAGTTACTTATAAAATAATAAAGGCGGTATACACGATTAATCAATGTGGGTTATATTTCCAGAGACAAAGATAAAGGATTGGCCTCTAAAAGTGTTAAAAAGCTTCTTCTCATTCTCTAGCAAGCACCTACATTTTTTGTCTCTTTG